TTCTTTAAAAAGAGTGGATTGTTTCAGGCAAAGTCCCCTTCCTCTGGAGGAGGGCAGGAGGCTATCATGCAGACTGCCTCACTATTGCTGACCAGGTAATTCCAGATTGACTGGTTAAAGGTTACATTCCCAAGAAAGGCTGAAACTGGTTAGCTATTAGTTTAGCTATTAAGTCTTGGTTTGCTGGCCTGCGGGTCAGCACAAGTGACTCCATTTGGGGCCAGTTATCTCTTTTTTTCTTTCACATTCCCATGACTGGACATTGGTCTTGGTTTGCTGCTCCATCCACTTCTCTGGGCCCTGGCTGTTCTTGACCTCAGCAAACTCCAGCCTCTGGGACTGCCCCCTGCCCTTGGCTCTCACCAGGAAGCCTTGAGCTAATCAGGCTGATTATTGCCCAGGTCCAATTCCATTTTCCCTGGCTACAACACGCAGTGAGTTTCCTTAGCTGCCTAGCTCCCTGTGAGCCCTGCCTCTTGTCAGGCAGCCTGACCTAGGCAGCCGCCAGCTTCCCTGCCTGCTGTATCATCACAGATGAATCAGGCCTGCCCAACCTGGGGGTGTAATCTAAACGCCATCTACAGAGTCACATCACCCTCAGCAGCAAAACACAATTGTCACCTCTTCCCAGGTCTCATAAAGTCTCTGGGTTTCTGAATGCCAAAACCCTTCCTGTTTTCCAGAAGTCCATACTACAATCTGCCTGCAAGGGAGCTGAATTTTAGAGAATGCTTTCTCTGAAATTATTTCTCTCATTTCTGCACATTTTGAGGATGGGCTATCATTAGGGAATGTCCTTGAACTTCCAGCTTCGTTTCATTCTTGTACCATCTCCAGGGTCTCTAGGTGGCTGAAAGTGGGACATGGCGAAGGAGGGACATCAAGATGCTGTTATTCATTCCCAACCCAAAGGCTCCCTGGGATGGAGAAATGAGCTCGGGTGACCATTGCTTTCATCTTGATCTCTTCCAGAGAGGGAAAGGCTTGGCCAAGGGAGGAAAGGGGAAAGCCAGAACGGGCGAGTGCCCACAGCGTACAGAGTCTACTGGATCCAACGGCCCCAGAATATGGCGCTTTCCATAGGATTGGAGGTATTGAAACACAAAATTCAACTGAGTAAATTTGAAGATCCAATTGGCTGTGTTCAGTGATTCATGCATCGGGCAGCAGCCTGTCTACCAAGTAGACAGGAGCTCTGAAGAGCTGCACAAAATGAAAAGTTTCTTAGGCAGAAGGGGGCAGACAAGGAAGTTTCTAAGAAAAAGTGAATTGTTTCAGGGAAGGTCATGTTCCTTTGGGGAAAGGCAAGGGTCTATCATTCAGATTGACCTCACTATTGCTGACCAGGCAATTCCAGATTGACCAGTTAAAGGTCACATTCCATTCCTGGCTGAAATTGCAATAAGGTAAGGGTATTAAGTCTTGATTTGCTGATGTAGGGCTTAACACAGGTGATGCCATTTGCAGCCTGTTCTTCCTTCCCTTCTCCCTCCCTCCCTCCCTCTCTCCCTCCCTTCCTTCCTTCCTTCCTTTCTTCCTTCCTTCCTTCCTTCCTTCCTTCCTTCCTTCCTTCCTTCCTTCCTTCCTTCCTTCCTTACATGTATAAGCACTTAGAGAACAATAAGAATTCAATAATGTTACATTGACACAAGCCCAAAAGGAAGCCAGAGACTGCTGGGATGAATGTGAGAGGAGGTGTTTTTTAAATCTTTGTGGAGATGAGTCTTGATTCAATTAAATTTAACAAGTATTGATGGCATCTCTATGCATAAAGCATTGGGTTAGGCACTGTGGGGGTTCAAGGCAAACAAAGCCACATCCTCACCCTGCAGGAACAGGTTATGTAGGAAAAATTGTGAATGTGACGTAATATGCATAACAGGGTTATCCAGTAACAGTGTTAAGGAGTGCTATGGACTGGATGTATGTGTCTCCCCCAAATTCCTATGTTGAAACCCTAACCCCCAGTGTGATGGTATTCGGAGGTGGGGCCTTTGAGAGGTAGGGTTAGATGAGCGCATGACGGTGGGGCCCTGATCTGATGGGCTTAGTGTCCTTATAAAAAGAGACACCAGAAAGCTTCTTTTGTGTGCCCTCCACCCCAACCCCGTGTGTGTGCACACAAAAGTAACTCATGTGAGCACACGAGAAGGGGGCCAGTATGCAAGTCAGGAAGAGAGCCAGAACACCATCTTGCTGACACCCTGATCTTGGACTTCCAGCCTCCAGAACTGTGAGAAAATAAATGTCTGTTGTTTAAGCCACACCTTGTATGGTATTTTGTTACAGCAGCCTGAGCTAAAACAGGGAGACATAGAAGAGAGATGAATAGTGAAGGGTTGTATCAGAGAGGGTTTCCTGGAGGAAGCAGAATCAGAGTTGCAGGATGAGTTAGATTCTAGAGAGGAAGGTATGGGGAGGGCATTGCAGTTGCAGGGAAAGGGCAGCATTTCAGCAGTCCATGCAGTGGGGGTGTAGAGTCCCTGGAGTCTGGGGTGGAGAGATGGAACCAGGAGCGAAACCAGCTGGATTTCAGGGACCTTGAAAACACTTAGGAGTGTAGATCTTGCTCTAATAAAAGAGTGGGGGTATCAGTGCTTTTGAGCATATGCACAGAATATTTGGGAAAGAGCCAGTTACTGTGTAGGAAGAAGTGACTGACAAGAGGGTAGGCCATGGGGAGAGCAGACAAGGCAATGATGCTCTTGAGCGTCTTTATGATGCTCATAAAGAATCACATGTTGGAATAGGAGCAGCACCCAAGGGGAAGCAATAGCACCTGGAACTGTGTGACTGTTGGGGGCTGCAGGTAGCCAAAGGTGGACCTGGTGGGTGATTCCCAAATTCTTTGACTTTATGCCCCCACCAGACCCTCTGTATCTGCCTCCAACCTCCTTTGGTGCATCCCTGTGCATTTGGATCTCCCTATTTCTGCAAAGTGACCTCTCTTTCATCTTGCCCCTGGGCCAGCCCATAGTTCTCCTATGGTTGGAGGAGGAGACGAAGAAGAGACCTAAATAGAAGAGATGCTGGAGAGAGAATTGTTAATGAGGAAGCTAATGTAAAAGTAACTTAGAATAGTGCTTGGCATAAGGTGAGCAGTCACTCAGTTTTTGTAGATAAGAGAACCAAGGTCCAAGAAAAGTTTCTTGGCCAGGAGCCAAGATGGCGGCGTGAGTAGAGCAGCGGAAATCTCCTCCCAAAACCACATATATTTTTGAAAATACAACAAAGACAACTCTTCCTAAAAGAGAGACCAAGAAAAGTTTCTTTCTCCAGCTCACCCATGTAGTAAATGGCCAGCCAAGCACTGGACCTGGGCCAACTATGTATTTCATCACTCTATCCTGCCTTTTGGTGGGGTCTACAGCTCTTTCAAATACCCCTTCCCCTGGCCACTTATGCCTGGCCCTGTGGGAGATGGGAGGCAGTTTCAAAAGGGAAGACATCTGGATTCAGCCTATAGACTGAGTGTGTGTGTTCCACCCCCACCCCCAAAATTCATATGTTGAAACCTAATCTCCAGTGTGATGGTATTTGGAGGTGGGGCCTTTGGGAGTTTGATATGGTTATGAGGGCAGAGTCTCCTGAATGGAATTAGTGCCCTTTTAGAGACCCCAGAGAGCTCCCTCATCCCTTCTGCCCAGCGAAGACACAGTGAAAAGACAGCTGGCTATAAACCAGGAAGCCGACTCTCACCAGGAACCAATCTGCCAGCCCTTTGACCTGGGACTTCCCAGCTTCCAGAGCTGTGAGAAATAAATGTCTATTGTTTATAATCCCCCGCCTCTGCTCCCCACCCCAGTCAATGCTATTCTGTTATAGAAGCCTGAATGAACTAAGACAGCTGTGGATAAAATGAGAGTTCCTGTGGCCAGGATTCTCACCAGGCCCTGGTTGACTAGCTCACTGCACACCTGTGGGCAATACATGGCTGTTGACTCTACATAAAGAGCTCCGCCCAGTGCTCTGGGCACGACATGGTGGCAGGTCTGCAAGGCTGCAGGAGAGCAGAGCAGAGGCTGGTGTGGTGTCAGTGCCGAGGACAGAGGCCCAGAGGACGGCTGTGCAGGATGACTGGGCAGAGAGGCCCAGAGGACGGCTATGCAGACAGAGGGGCCCAGAGGCAGAGACTGGCTTGCTGCATACAGACTCGCTCTGAGTAAACCGGATTTTAGTGACTGACCTGCCACCTGGAAATAAAGTTGGGTATAACCTTTTCACCCCAAGAACGTTTTGCTGTCATTTTCTTTGGTCACATTGAATCCATAGTGAGCTTGCCCGGGGCTGAACCCATTGGCAAGACCACAGCCAATTTTAGGATCTGGGGATTTTGAATGCAAATATGAAAATGAATCAAGTGAAGGCGAAAGATCCCTGGGCCAGGAAGGGATGGCTGTGAGCCACCAGAGCCTGCAGATGCTCTAAGTGTCCATGAGGGGGCAGCAGAGCCTAGGCTCTTTTTTAGCTTACGGTTTAAGTGGGGTGGCCTGCCCGAGACTCCTTCCAGAACAAAATGAATCCTGAGCTGCACATCAGGAATCTTAACGAAGCATCCTAAAAATGTTAAACATGACAGTGATGAGGGGGCTTTATTAACAGTCCAGTCCTTAGTGAGCAAAAGGTAAGACTGTGCCCAAATGGTCAGATACAATTTTTCCCAAGTTAAACCAGGGAGTTGATGAGAAAGCTGTAACTAGAATCCAGGGCTCCATCTCCCTAATCTATGGAAATAAACATGAGTTCATTTCCAGAAGGAGAACTCTGTTCTCTCCCAGTGGGACGTGAGTCCCTGTATTCTGTGAGTGTACAGGGGTCCTGCCTCATCGTGGCCAGCAAGCGATGCTGGGAAAGTCCAGAGAACGGTATTCTTCCTGGATATAGATATCCTTCTTTTCTTCTTGAAGCCAAACTCACCAGTCCCTATATCCTGGAGGAGAGGAGAGAGCCTGGCAGGTGAGAAACAGGAGTTTGTATAGGGCATCAACTGGAGAAAGGCCTGGAAATCATGACAAATTTAATGAAATTGCAACTTATTACAAATATATACAACTATATTGAATAACAAAAATCTAAACCTGTAGATAATTAGAACCTTAAAAATACTCACAGTCCTATATACTCAAAGAGAAAAGCTATGTGTTTAAAAACATGTTTTTCATGAGAATGCTTAAATCAGCATTTTACATAAAGTTCAGTCCAATGTTGAAACAATCACCCAGTAAACAAACTCATTTGGGTGCTGTCCTTGGTGCTGAAGGACAAGTGGGAGGAAGAACTTCCCAGAAAGGAGCAGGAGGGCCTTGCCTGAGATCATGACAAGCCCATTAGAGCTTCCATGGTGTTTCTATTTAAGTTTCCCAGTGCTGTGGTCTCTCTTCTTTTCCTTCTTGGTAAGTACGGTGTTGTTTGTCCTCAGGTTCCTGTGGAATGCTCTCAATGCGGAATGTTCCACCAAGCTTAGCGAAACTGAGGTCTCCTCACTCATAGCCCGACAGCTCCATAAAAAACTGCCTTTGCCTTAAATTGATGTCATCATCACTTGGGGCCTCTGAATTTTGATCTGGAAAGCGAGATAGAACCACATGAGGGATATGTACTGAAGAACCTGGGATTTGGAAGCATGAGAATCTTGGGGAAGCCCTCAGTTTAGAATTTAACCCGTTACCTGGAGTCTAGCACAAACCAACTGTGCCCCCACCCCACCTGAGTCAGGTAGATTTAAAGGTATTATGGTTAAGGAGTTCATCTTTGCCCCAAGGCTCTTTCTAAGGAGTACAGTGCCTGAAGTCAATCGCTCTTCTTTTGAAGTGTGAGTACTTTGAGGGTATTTCTTCTGCCCTCAAATCCACCCAGTTGAAATAAAATTAAAGTTGTAATCAAGGAGTTGTCACCCCTTGCCAAGTGGTTCCTTGCCAGTCATAGTGGAACAACCTGACATTATGTTCCGCTTGAGGTGGTGCAATAGACAGCATTATCTATGATATCGGTGCAACAAAAATGTTTAAGCTGAGTCTAATCAAGCCTCTAGACTTAACTGCCAATTTATAGAAAATAAAAAGAATCAAAGGGCAAGTTAGATGACACCATATAATAATTAGACAAATCCAGAATGTGGGATATTCCTTAAGACAACCATCCTAGACTCTCAAAAAAGAAAAATCAGTGTATTAAAAAGGTAGGAGTCAGTTCCGGATTCAAAGACAAAAGAGACATGACAAAAGTCAGTGAGTGAATTTTGGTGTATTCACATATGAAAAAACTAGTAATAAGTGATGATCTTGAGTTAATTGGAAAAATGAATATTGGATGATAATGTGGAAATATTGCCAACTTATTGGGCATGATAATGGTATTTGAGTGTGTACTGAATGTTTAGGGATCAAGTGTCATAATGTTTACAATTTACTTCCAAATGGCTCAGCAAAACACACATGCACACATATATATAATGAAAGTATGGCACCATGTTAGACATTATTGATGTAGATGGAGCATGGAAGTATTTACTGCAATATTATTTTGACTTTTATGTTGGTCTGAAAATTAAAATAACTAAATAAACGGGCCATCAAGGATATACTTAAAGTGGAAAAGGAAACCTCTGAACCTGAAGCCTCAGGGATCCAGAGAGAAGATAGAGTCCACCCTACTGCTTAGCTCTCCTTCTCTCCCACCTGCTTGCCACCCTCCATTGTATTTATTTCCCAGCAATGTAGGCCTGGATGGTCACCTGGACCAACAAACTGTAAAATGTGACTTTGCTTTCCTGATGATCCTACCGTGGTAGGAGGGGAGATGAGGTCTCAGGGCACGGGGAGATGTAAAGCTCATCCATGCCCTTCTTACCTTTGTTTCAGAGTCTATGTGGTCCAAGGAAGGCTGGAAGTTACTATAGATGGAGTCCAGTTGGAGGGCATCGTCTTGTTCTAGATGAGGAGAAAGCCCCACAGAAGCAGATGGTTAGGAAGACAAACTCTTGCCTCTCCCTTTAACCCCATCTACAGTAGGATGAGTGGTGCATCCCCATTTCCCAAGAAACTGAAAACCACTGTAAACATGACATGATGCCTAAACTACCACACCTCAGCAAATGGTTTGATTGATTCTCAAAAGATCTGAAAAATCACACTTCAAAATTCAACAAAGAAAAGCCACAAGCACTCTGCAGGCAGCTTTTCAAGTTCATGAAGAGCCCGTTAAGACTTGGCTTGGACTGAGGGCGCCTTTTGATGGCTTTTGGAGTACCCCAATTCATGGACCTGTGGCTTTTCTTTCCTTTAGAGTTTCTACAATGTTGTAAAATAAAATTTTGTCATTTGTCACTGAAAAATCTTAAACATCTTTTGTTGGCTATATGCCTAGGTACTATATATATTTATATAAATGGTATTTTTAAAATTTAATTGTTGCTGATGCATAGAAATGCAATTGATCTTTTATAAGATCTGACCTTATATCTGGAAACTCTGATAAGTTCTATTACTTTTACAGATTTAACATTCTTTTAGGTTTTCTATATAAGACAACCATACCATCAGCAAATGACAGATTTATAGTTTTCTCTCCAGTCCTCAAACACTTTATTTCATTTTCTTTTTTATTACACGGATTAGGACACCCAGGACAATGATTAATAGAATTCATGATGGAGGATATCTGTGCCCTGATCCTGGTTCAGTGCCAGGTTGGCAAACTTGGGCCCGTAAAAAACACCTGCAAGCTAAGATTTTTTTTCATGTTTAAGAGGTTGAAAAAGTCTTATTGGACAAAACCACACTCACATTGTTTGGTTCCTTCCATGTCATATTAGCAGAGTTGAATAGCTGTGACAGAGATCATTTTATCCACACAGCCCAAAATATGCTATCTGGTCCTTTGTAGAAAAGGTTTACCAACCTCTGGTTAAATGGAATGATGTCTAATGACTTATCATTCAGAATGGTATTTGCATGTTTGTGTGAATACTTTTACCAGGAAAGGGAAGTTCTCTTCTATTCCTAACTGGCTGAGTTTTTAAGTGGAGCAGATACAGATTTTCATTAAAATCTTATTTTGCATTCATTGACATAATCATATTTTTCTTCTAAGTCTGGCAATGTGGTGAATGTGTAAATAGATTTTCTAATCTTAAAATAACCCTATTTCTAGAATAAACCCAACTAGTCGTGATTTTTATACTTGCTGGATTTGCTATACTAATTTTTTCTTTAGGATCTTTATATCTATACACACAAATGGGTTTGGTCTTTAAATTTACTTTCTTGTACTGTCTGTCTGATTTGCTATAAATGTTTATGGTAAATTCAAAATGGGAATAAGAGAGAATTTCCTCCTCTTTCAGTCACTGAATGAGTTTATATCAGATTGTCAATCTACTCTCTGTAAACATTTGGTAGAACTCACCTGTAAAACCATCTGGGTCTGATTCACTTTTCAAAGCAGCTTTAGACCACTCTGGCACGATTGCCTAAAAAATTTTGTCTAAATCTATGGATTTTTTTGGGTGGAAGTTGTCCGTAATAGTTTCTTACTACCTTTTAAATATCTCCCACCATCACGGTGATGTCGCCTTACTCTCTCTGATACTATTTGTGTCTTTTTTCTCCATTGGTCTTTCTGAGGCAGAAATTAGTCAACTTTATTAATCTTTTCAAATAACCTGTCTCTGATTTGTTGGCCCTTCCTTTTGTATTTCTGCTCCCTATTTTGTTGATTTCTGCTCTTATCTTAATTTTTTACATCTCCTTCTTTGAATTTATTTTGTTGTTCTTTCCTTAACTTCTAGAGTTGAAAAATTAGCCCCGTAATTTCCAATCTTTCTTTTCCTCCCCTGATAGAAGCATCTTAAGGCTGTAAGTTTCCTTCTGAGTACAGTTGTAGGTGCATCCCACAAGGATTTTAATTTCCATTCAGATCCAAGTATTTGTTAACTTCCATTATGATTCACTATTTGGTTCATGACTTACTTAGAAACTTGAAAAACAAAAAAACTTCTGAAGGTGTAAGATTTTTGTTTTCCAGAAAAATTTTTGTTATTTTTTTTCTAATTTATGTGCATTGTGGTTGTATAATATAGTCTGACTTAGATTCTTTTTTTTTAGACTAATTGAGACTTTTTATGGCTTTCTGAGTGGTGATTCATACAAGTTTTTACTATGCTCTTGCAATGAATGCATCCCGTCATTGAACACAGTCTACGGCAAGTATATTAAGGTTAATTATTTTGTACGACAGGTCTGTATCCTTGATGATTTTTTTGTCTGCTTCATCAATCTGTTAAAAATATCCCATCACATTGAGAGATTCATTCATCAGTTTTTCCATGTAGTTTTGTATCTTTGCTTTATAGATTTTGAAGCTATGTTAATAGGGCACACAAGGGAAATTTGCTGTATCTTCTTAAAGTAAACCATTTCCCAGTAGGTATTGGTCATTTTTTGTCCCTATTAATTCTTTCTGCTTTAGGGTTTATTTGCCAAACAATGGGTACAGCTTTAGATAGAACAACAGATCTTTGGGTTAGTATTTCCCTGGTCCTTTTCCATTCTTCTGCTTTCATCCTTTTTCTGTGTTTCTATTTTGCAAGTGCCTTTCATCCACAGGGAATAGCTAGGTTAGCTGAAGGTTTAATCCATTTATGTTTGTTGTAGTTTTAGATGTGGTGGATTCTTTACTACCATCTTATATTGTACATCTGCTCTCCCTTTCTTACTTCTTGGTGGTTTGGCTGAAATGTTTTCTTCATTACATTTTTCCTTCTTTAGAATTTAAATACTCAATTTCTAGAAATTTATTATGTACATTTACCCTAACAAAATCTATAGTTCATTACTTTGCTGATCTGTAACTCACCTATTGATGAATTCACCCATTTCTAGGCACCTACCTGTGCTCACACAGGCAGTTTTGTGTTCTGGAGAAACCTAACACCCCCAAGTAAACTGTGTTTCCCCCCATGATCTAGTTCTTGCTCACACTTACACCTCATCTAGGGCCTTGCAGGAGCCAGTGGTAGAAAGAGGGTTGCAGAGGTAGGGCCAAATATTCTAGAGATGGAAATGCTTTTCCATTTGCTCCTTTAAGTCCCGGTGTCCTCCCACACACCTCCCATTTGTGTCTCTACACTTGAGACATTTTGAGTCCTCTATGGATTTCCAGTACCTTCACAGATGTCAAAGCCAACATTTTGGAAAGTTCCAGGGGCTGACCCACCATCCTCTTCATGCCACTTGTACAATTGAGTCACTTTAGATTTTTGCCTATTGACAGAAACATGGAAGAGACCCCATTTTATATGGGCAACAGGGACAAGGACCTGGAGACTAGTTATGCCCCTGCTTTCTGCTGCCCCACTGTCCACCCTGAGGATGGAATGGTTGGAGACAGAGGATCAGAAAAGGAAGAGGAGCCGGAGGCAAACGGAAGAGCAGAGGCAATGGCTCACCTTTCCGCCTCTCTCCTGGAGCGGAACAGGAACACCAAGAGGGCTGTGAAGATGATCAGCACCAGTGAGCAGGCTGCCCCCACGAGCCCGTACACCAGACTCTTCTTAGTGCTGGACTCACAGGTTTCCCCACTGTACCATTCAGTGTCTGTGGTCAGGCAGCTGAGATGGAGAGAAGGGGCAGGCGAGGAGAGGGAGCAATCCTGAGTCAGGGCTGCCCAGTGCCCACAGCCTCCCAGCCTTACGGCTGGCCTGGCCCCATGGGAGCTTAATGAGGAAAAGGTGAAGAAGGAAGGGATTGCTAGGGGCAGAGCCAGGAGCCATGAGGGGACCGCCAGAGACCAAGTCCAGCTTCCATGGGGTGGACCTTACACAGACCCAATATCCATGGCCAGGCCTGTAGGTTTTGCAACCTAGGACCTAGAATAGTTGGCCCAACTCTGGGGCTGCCTTGGGCTGCACCCAGTAACTTGAGGCCCACAGCAACCTTGTCACATACACATTGACCATCCTCATCCTACCTCCCTCTCTGTCTGGAAAAACAATCCCCCATCCCTAGTCTGGTTTACCTCTGAAACTCCTTCTCCTCCCCAGAGATGCTCTTTCTAAGCCCTACTCTTTTCCATCTTGAGCCAGCTTGCAAGCTCCTCTTATAGGAAGACTTCCCAGAATAACTACTCAGGCCTGTACATTGTGTGGCTTCTTCCCCAATCCCTGGTGCTCCAGCCGGCCTCTCCTTGGTTTAGCTCTGGTGGACAGCGCCTTTCCTGCCCTGCTTACTCCAGTGACTTGGCTTTTGCAGGCTTTCCACCCTCCCTATGCGGTGTGTCACCTTTCCCCATGTCACCAGCAGGGGATGTTGAACTCTCCCTGGAAGCAAGGCCCTGTGCTCCCCATCTGACTGGGATCTCCCTGAGGCTGGGGCCTTCCTTCTGCTTCCTCCCCAGCTTGACAGTCCTCAGCATCGCTCAGAGGGGAGGGCAGCTACTGAGGACCATTCTGGACCTGGGTCCGGGCTCTGGCCACGCATGTCCTTTGGGGCTGGCTGCGTTCAGGAGGGGTCAGGACCTACTTCATGACCTTGGCTCCAGGCAGAGTCCCCAGGGGGGAAGGAGAACAGCGGGGCTTGGTGTGACACTCACTAGCAGCGAGCGCCACCCTCCCTCAGCTGGCACTTCCCATTGAGACAGTTCAGTGAGTTGTTGAAGCCAGACATGCAGCGCGTGATGCAGTGTAGTTTCCCATCCACATACTCCACAAAGAAGTGGTGGGCCAGGTCTTGCCCAACTTTCCGCCGGCATTCCTCTGCAGGGACATAGGGGGGCTGCCCTGATCAGGCTGCCAGCTGCTGCCCTTCCCCTGCCCACCCAGAGCCCCTCGGGTCACCTACCTTCAGGCTTAAACTCGGGAACTGTTACATTTTGCACCTTGGTGGCACTTGTGTTGAAACACAGTATGGCTGTGGAGGAGACATACAAAGCACCTCACAACAAGCTTGTTTAGCAGGGGGCTCAAGTGTGTGTGGGGGTGGGTGGGGTTATGAGGGGGTGCTGGGGAACCCCGCCTGTGGAGGGAGCATGCTGGCCTCACATCCAGCTCAGTATGATGACCCTCCCACCGTCTGTTCCTCCCCTGTCCTTCTCCCATGCCCACCTCTGCCAAGACCCCCACACTGCTCACTGTACTGAAAGTAATAGGAAGTCACATTTGTCATTTTCCTGTAGACTCAGCTGCCCCGCGGGATTTAGCCTGTGGCCCGCCTGTCCTGTCTCCTCCTTCCAAAGCCTCTGCTGGAAGCTGCCAATCTGAGCGACAAGCTTCAAGCCTTATTCCCGGGCTCTCAGTGTTCTCCAGGCCATCCCCAAATCTGCTTTTTCTCCCCTTCCCACCCCAGGATAACAAAGCTTAAAGATTCCTTGAAGATCTCCTCAAGCCCCTCCCAGAAGCTTAGGAACTTACATTTACAGACATTATTTACACTTATTTGCTGTGTGGTTACATTTATGATTTTTTGCTCCACTTTCTGGCTGACGTTCTTGAAGACTTCGTTGTATTGCGGGGTGTACTTGGCCTTCAGGAGGACTTCATGGTCCACCACCACACTACCACGCCTGGGGAGAAAGAGAAAGAGGTCCTTGGGCACCCTCACAAGTCAAAATAGGTGCTCACCTCTCCCGCCTCTTCCCTAGGCAGGCCACACCCTCTCTGGCCCATTCCAGGCTCTCCTAGGCCTTTGCCAGAGGACTTGTATCCCAGCCTGCTCCTAAGAGGACCAGCTACAAAGGCTAGGATCTGAGCAGATCTGCATGGAAGTCCCAGAGAAGGCCCAGGGATAAAGTTTGACAGAAGGATGGGATGGTGGACAGGTCATCCTGAAAGTGCCATTAGAAGTATTCAAGCAGGAGACTGGGCAGCTGTTGATAAGACGTCCTTATGGGGTAGGAAGTGTCACCAGGGCTGAAAGGATTCATGAACTACTAAGTGCTTCAGGAGGTCTGTGAGCCTCTTAAGACTGTATGCAAACATTTGAAGGTACATATATATATTTTTTCTATACACACAGTTTGGTCAATTCTTAAAGGAGTCTCTGACACCTACAAGGGTAAAATCCAGTCAAAAGCCTCTCCCTACTCCCTGCTTAGAAGTAAGGAGAGCCAGGGGCAGGCTCCCAGACAGTGTGGACTCAGACCTGCTGGCAGCTTCCCTCTGCCTCATTTTCTAACTCTGAATCCCCAGTTAGGGCTGTCTTCTTTGCGAGCAAAAAAAAAAATGGGGAATGCCTGTAAGTCAACAAGCTCTTATTCCAGAATGCAAATTACTTCTCCCTCCTGGGTGCAGAGGTATTATTTGCAGCCCAGGAGCGAGCACTTTCTGGTTTAAAAATACAATAACAAGTCCAGCCTTTCCATGCTCACAGCTCAAGATTCCTAAATATTGAAAGCCAAAAGCACTCTTTCCCTTGCTTTTTACTTAATGCTATATTCAGAGGCTTAACTACACATAACAGGTTTAGGGGTGCTCATAGAGTAACATACAGAAAAATAGAATTATATAATATAATAATGATGTATATACTATAACATAATATAACTGAGTTAGCAGGGACCAGGAGATCCAGTTCACGGCTCTCTCTCATGATAACAGAACAGTGATTCAAAGTAGCCACTTGGTGGTGGTCTGAGATACCTACCTCCCAGGCTTCATTAATGTGCTCAGTTCCCATTTTTAGGGCTCCCATGGACAAACGTGGCTTTATCTAGGCCATGTGGGTGTAGTAGGGGTTAGGAAATGTGGGATGAAATCCCAGCACTGGCCCTAAGTAGCAGTGTGACAATGGACCAGCCCATTGGCCCCCTGGGGTCTCCTGTCTCTTGTCTGTGTGACATGAGGGTTGGACAGACAAATTGTTCCCAGGACTCTGTTTCATGTTTTCGAAGTGGTGATTCTCACTTCTTATCTGCACACCCTCAGACCTATCTGGAGCTCTCAGAGCAGAATGGAGAAAGAAGATGTGGTACCTATACACAATGGAATATTACTCAGCCATAAGAAAGAATGAAATCCTGCCATTTGCAACAACATGGATGGACCTAGAGGTTATTATGCTCAGTGGAATAAGCCAGGGGGAGAAAGACAAATTCCATTATTATTTCTCTTATATGTGGAACCTTAAAAACAAAACAAAACAAATTACAAAACAGAAACAGATTCACAGACACTGAGAAGGGACTGGTGGTCACCACAGTGGAAAGGTGGGTGTGGGTGAAATGGGTGAAGGGGATAAAAAGGCACAAGGTGTCAATCATAATATAAATTAGTCACAGGTATGAAAGAACTCAGAGAATATAGTAAAAAATAAATAAAAATAAAAATAAGAAAATGATTGTTTTAAATCCCTGGTCCACAGAGCTTGTCCTCTGATGGACAGGTAGAGAGGAAGGATGAGGTCTGGCGCTAGAGACATCCCCCGTCCCAGGGACAAAAGAGAGTCCTATGTGGTCAGCACACACTGGTCGTGGAGAGGAAGTCTTAGGGTCAGAAATAAAAATGCTTTCCTCTTCCAGGGGAGCTGAGCTGCCGAAGAGCCACCCACCATTCAGCCCCTGACCCAAGCCCCAGGCTGACTGCGGCACCTGTCATGAGGGCAGACCCAGAGGGGCTTGGGATCCCCACCTGCTGCTACCTGGGGTGGCCTCTCTTGTGAGAGAAGTTTGGGGTTGGAAGAATTAAGGGAGGAAGAGAAAGGGAAGCTGGTGAACATTTTTTTCTTCTGTGCAATTTATTTCCTGTTGGTTATAAATTCCTTTTGAAAATTAGTGATCGTGACTCTGTAAACTGTAAGAAAAGAGCTTTCCTTCCGTGATCCAGGGATGGTCTGTAAGGCCCATAGGCCAGCACCATTCAAAGGGTTTCAGGAAGTTGGAGCTGGTAACAATGCAGAGGTCCTGTAGGGACAGATACTATCCTAGGTGAGAGGAAGTGGCTACGGGGCAGGTATGGACATCGTTTCCCTCAGGGGTTCCCTTCACAAGCTAAGTTGGTGGCTTCATCTCTGAGGGTCAGTGGGGTGCCCATCACACAGGCTGTAGCCTCCAGGTGCTCTGCAGTGTCTGTCTCCAGCACAAGAGGACTGCCGTTTGAGTCCTGGCTGCACCAGTCTGTAAACGACCCCTCAGGCACCTCTCTGCATCCCTCTAACCTCAGTTCCTCCATCTCTGCAGTGGGAACAGCTCTGCTGGCTTCACTCACAGGGGAGGTTACGAGCTTTCAACTGGAAGATGCAGTGAAACTATCATTGTTGCAGGGTGTTACAGGATCACTTGTGTCCTCCCAAATTCATATGTGGAAGTCTTAACCCCCAGTACCCCAGGATGTGCCTGCATTGGGGGATATGGCCTTTAGGGAGGTGATCAAGTTAAAATGAAGCCTTTAGGGTGTCCTTAATCCAATCTGACTGGTGTCCTTATAAAAAGAGGAAATTTGGTCACACAGACACACCACGCATGTGCGGGCACAAAGGAAAGGTCGCGTGAGGACCCAGAGACAGTAGCTGTCTGCGAGCCAAGGAGAGAGGCTCAGAAGAAACCAACCCAGCTGACGCCTTGATCTTGGACTTCCAGCCTCCAGAGCCATGAGCAATACATTTCTGTTAAGTTGCCCTTAGTTGCCCCGCCTGAGGTATTTTGTTACGACAGCGCTAACAGACTAGCACGGGAGGCGTGGTTACAGTTGTCTCTGCGAATATGACTGCAGCTTCCATTCCAAAGACTTTCTTCCCAGGAGCCCCAGATACTCACGATAGCCTTGTGATGTTGACCCCTTCGTATTCAGGGATTCCAGAATAAACCAAGTCCATCTGCAAGGCAAGTGGGCCACTGTGTCATCTCAGAGGCTCCACCAGAGGGCCTGCCAGGCCTTTCCACAGACTCCCAGGAGCGTGGAGGAGAGACTGCAGGTCCCCCGTCCCCACCCCGAGCCACCCAGCGAGCAGTCCCACCCTGCCGCCCGGCAGCCCCGAGGGAGCCCTGCTTCGTCCTCCCCTCCCTGCCTGGGAAGACCGAGGAAATGCAGGAGCCAAGAAACTCACCTCTGACAGGAGACTTGCCCTCAGCTGCTTTCTTAACCCCTAGAGACCCTCCCTGGGGAGACCAGAGTAGCCCCTGGGCACTCGCTGTCTTAGGCCCACCTGTCTTGTGAATTCCTTTGCGAAATTCTGGTACTTCTCAGAAACTGGGTCTTCCAGCTCCTCGGAGAAATTCACGCTGGTCACCGTTACTGTCAGTTCCACCTGGGCGGAGACGGTATCCGGCAGCTCTGAGGGGGTCAGAAAGCAGCCGCGTACTGCCGGTGGACGGCCAGCGCCCGCCCAAGGAGCCCCGCCCTCCCGCTCGTCTGCCGGCCGGAGGTGGCCGGGTTCTCTGGAAGGAGGGGACACAGGGACGCCCGCATGGCTTTGAGTTGGAGCCCCGGGGACCTCGGGTCTTACATTCTCACAGAATTCTACATGCATTTGGCATCGTGCACCATCATATACTCATTTACTAAATTGCACTTATGGTAAAATTCTGTGCTGAATTTATATTTTGCTCCAAACGGTACCTTCTGGCTTCATTTATTTTTAAATGGTTTACCTTTCTTACCACTGGGTAAAATAGTCACCCCCAGAAGAGGCCATATTCGGGCCACACACGGAAGAGAGGCAGGAATAGGCGCCCTGGGGTTGAGGCCTCTGCTGCCTTACCTATGCTTGGGACGACCTCCTCACACTTCGGCCCCTGGTAGAGTTCGGGGCACAGGCACTTGATCCCATCCCAGACACCTCCGTTCCAGCACGTGCCCACCACCTGCTGGCACTGATCCCCCGCGAAGCCACTGGGACACTCACAGGCCTTTCCATTCCACTTCCCACCATTGAAACAGATCACTGAAAGGAAAAAGAACCCGCTCAACCATGTACATTTGCACAGCACTTTACAGCTCACAGCGTATTTTTCACAGACACTGTCCAATTTGATACTCTTGAGACCCTGGGGTGGGCTGGACAGTTAGTCACCCTGCTGTGCAGAAGGGAAAAGTGAGGTGGAGATGCCAGCCCAAAGTTCCACATGGAGGCCAGATTACCTGGTCTGGGCTCTATTCAGTGTGCTTTCTTTCAGGGCTGAGGAAGAGGAAGGGGGGACAGGGACTGAAAGAGCCCAGAGAAACTTGACTAGTCCAGACCCACCAAGCTTGGGAACAAAGAAGTCACTGTTCCCTCAGTGCCTGGAAACCCCTGCTATTGCTACCGTTCATGATCCATTTTTAATTTGCTGGGAGGTGGGGTTTGGCTGTAGACTTAGTTTAAATAGACGTTACAGGTTATAGACAACTCTCAAATACTTCTGCCAACTAATCTGGAAAATCTAAAGCTCTGTTCTCTTTGGCTTTTCTTGAAAAGAGCCATGTCTACACAGGCCAGATTTCCCTGTGTGTTTTGTCTGGGAAGGTGCACTCCCCTCACCAGACCCAGACAGCAGGGGCCACACTGGGACCATCACGTCACGAAGCCTGTTTACGCACTGTTGGTCTGAGACATTTGGGAAGAATGGAAGAGATGAGTCAAGAGTAGAGTCCAGCACAGCGGAGACCCATAAATCCCAATTCAGCCCCTCTCTCCTCTGGTGCATGTAACTGAAGATGTTCTGACCTAATCTCAGTGCCTGAACACAGTTTGTGAGTAGTGACCAAAGCAGCAGCTGGTGTGTGTTCAGCTGTTGTTCAACAGTCCAAAGGGAAAACCAGCCTCTTGGGTGTATGAGAAAGAGGAAAGGGGGCCATCATATCAGCTGTGGGCCTGGTGGTCATGCAGCCACTTAGCATTCATGGTGAGACACCTAGGGGCCTTCCTCGGACCACGAGGGCTGGAACCTCCCCTCTAAAGATGCTCAGCATCCTTTCTGGAACCAGAGAGCTCGCTGTGACAAAGATGCATTAGAGAGGACCCGGAGGAAAAGCCACATAACATAAAGTCCAGACAAAGCAGAACTCAACAGAGGAAGAATTCACAAAGCCTTGAGAAACCGCAGCCCCTACAGCTGAAGGACCGCCCTTCACCTTCATCAATTCATCACAGGATTGAGCAGTGCCCTGGGCAGGAGCAGATAGATCATGTACGTGTGAGGTTATCTGCAATTCCTCTAAATCAGTGTATGTTGTCACATATTTTATCTACTGTATTTTCTTGAATACCTGCCAAATACCCTTTCTCAGTCTGAAAATAATATTCACAGATGTGATGGTGTATAATATAATATATATTTTGTATTACATACAAAACACAGGCGCACCTCATTTTAGTGCACTTCACTCAATTGCACTTTGCAGATGTTGTGTGTTTTATGGATTGGAGGTCTGTGGCCACCCTGCGTAGAGCACATCTGTTGGTGCCGTTTTTCCAACAGCATTTGCTCACTTTGTGTCTCTGTGTCACATTTGGTTAATTCTTGCAATATTTCAAATTTTTCATTATTATTATATGTGTTACAATGATCTGTCATCAGCGATTATGACTTCCTGAGCTCTCAGGTGATGGTTTTTAGCAATTTTTTGCAATGTAGTATTTTTAATTAAGGTATGTGCATTGTTTTTTTAGACATAATGCTATTGCACACTTAACAGACTACAGTGTAGTGTAAGCAGAGCTTTTATATGCACTGGGAGACCAAAAAATTGATTTGACTGACTTTATTGTGGTGGTCTGGGACTAACCCCACGTTATCTCCGACGTGTGCCTGTCATAACAGTGTTGTAACAGTACGTATGGGTGGGACAGTTCTTATCCTACCCAGGATGAAGAAAGCTGAGTGAAAGCTCTAGAGACAGAGAGAAGAAGGGAGGGGGACCTAAGGACAGAGAAACATTTAAGGACGTGGAGGTACAGTTCCGAGATGATACAAATGGACCTTCTCTTGCTTCTATGGTGGATGCTCAGAGGATAAACAAAAAAGGAGTGAACGGTGGCCAGGAAATAGTGGCCAAGGGTGCACGTGAATACTGTTGGCGAAATCCTCCTCCTCCTCCTCAATAATAAGAAAAATCTTTGCACTTAAGCATGAGAGAAATCCATGACAAAAAACACTGAAAAGCTATAAAATGCAAATGAAAGCTATGAAGCTAACAGAAGCATAGTCTGTAAGATGCAATGGATCAGAGACCGCAGAGTACAACAGGGAGGAAAGGGGATGTGTGCACACTTTCCTGGGCATCGAAGGGGTCCAGGCAAAGTGGGGGAAACGTGTTGTGCAAGAGTGGGATTTGTGCAAGAAACACAGATGGGGGACAGAAGAAAGTGATCAGGTACAGGGCTGAAGGTTTTCTCTAATGGAAAACAAGGAAGAACAAAGGAAGTGGGTGATGAGCACAAGTGCAAAGAGATGAACACAAACAGGGGATTGGAAAGAAATGTGACCTTCAAAAAGGAGACTTCAAGAAATTTCTTACTTGGTGTAGATGGTGAGGCACTGGAAGTTGAGGTGGGGGTGCTCTGTGTGGACGTAGTCTTGCTGGTGGAGACAGGGGGTGCTGTTTGGGAGGCAGTGCTCTGCGTGCTGGGACTCAGGGTGGACACAGGTGTGGTGGTGACACTCAGAGAGGTCGACTCTGCAGAAGTTTCTGTAGAAGTTGTCACGGAGCGGGTGAAATCACTGTAGGTGGCTGAAGATGTGCTAGCCTGCAAGGAAGTGGTAACAAGGGTGCTGCTCTCAACAGGAGGACTCAGAGATGCAGTTGCTGTGGCAGAAGTCGTCACACAGGTGGTGGTCTCAGTAAGAATGGTAGTAGATGCACTCACCTCAGTGGAAATTGTCACAGATGTGGTGTTGTCCCTAGAAACTGATGAAGACACAGTAGTCCTTGTAGTTATCACAGTGGTGCTGCCAGGAGTAAATGGTGATGTTGTTGCACTGTCCCCTGGGGAAGGTGTGACGGTGCTGGTGCTCTCGGTGGGTGGTGATGTTGTTGCACTGTGCCCTGGGGAAGGTGTGACGGTGCTGGTGCTCTCGGTGGGTGGTGATGTTGTACTGTCCCCTG